ATCTAAAACCTCATTGAATGTATCAGAACGTTTTTCTTTCTATAAGGAAATTAACTAACAGAGACAATAAACCCATCACAACTTCATATATTTAATGAGCTGTCAGGTGCAAAGAACGTACGATGTGAGCAATCNACTGTAAATCGTTTACTAATATCGCGTCGCTCATTATTTTGTATTTTTCGTACGTTAGAAATAAACTAGAATACTGCTCTACTGTTTGGAATCCATTCTATATATGCCATAGAGTTACTTGAAAAACCACAAAGAAAATTTCTCAAATATTTATGTTTTAAGATAGATGATGCTTATCCTGAAAGAGGTACACCATATAGGCAACTGATTGATAGATTTGGATTTCAAAGTCTAGATTTGAGGAGAAAATTAAACTCAGTCACTTTCCTCTCTAAGTTATTAAATGGTCAAATTGATTGTCCTGAGCTGCTGATTAAAATTGATTTTCATGTTCCTAGGCATAATTCTAGAAATACTGATACTTTTTATTGTTTGCGAAGAAGAACTAATCTCTTATTTAAGTCACCTATATATAATATGTGCAACTCATTTAATATGGTGTCGCATCTCTGTGATATAAATCATACCAGCTTAAAATCTATTTTATTAATCGTTTCAGGTACTGTAGATGAAGATTTCTGTTAGTTAGTTATATAAGTTGTTCCCTTTGTTTTTTTTGCTATTTATTAGTAATTATTACTTTACCTATTGTTCTATATGTAATTGTCCTATTATTGGTCTTGACTGTTGGGCAATAAAGCATTAATATTATTATTATTATTATTATTATTATTACTAACTATGGTTAGGCAGAACTAACTTTGAGATGCCCAATTAAATACAAAAGTATCTGATTAACTTATCTGATGTACCGTCCTGTGATGTTACATGTTGACATGTGTCGTCGTGTGTCCTAAACTTTTTACTACCAGATGTAAGCAGTTTTTTTAACAATATTGTATTTCGGTAGGTACTGTACCAATAGTTTTATTATTAATATACTGAAATAATTTAAACAAATTAAAAAATTCTTTGTAAAAAACGTCAAACAATGTTCTTCGATGCCAGAAATCTAGGTATACACACAAGACATCTAATTCAACAGACAAGATTCCTAATTGATCATATTGCAGGATACAACTACTGTATGGGTAGATGCATCTACTCGCATTCAATTATATTCTCAACAATCACTATAGTAATCAAATAGTAATAAATAATTATCCAAAATAAACACTGAAGATGATATCTATACTTATATAATTAATACAAAAACACTAACCTAATATATTGAAATTATTAAATATTGTAAGCACTCAAAGGGATATATACTAAAAAAATCTTTTTATTTCCACATTTTACTTAGAATTGTTTCTTCAAGTAGCCTCCTTGCAAATGGAATATTAATTGAACAAAATTGAATACCGTTAAAAAAATACTTTTAGGATAAGTGATATTTTGGAACTCAAAATTTTGAATATAGACAGATAAATATGAATTGTTTTTTTACCTAACCAATATTTGCCCTTTTTAGTAATTTCAAAAAACTGTAGATATATTGTATTATTAACTACCATATTTTTACATTGTTGTAAAGCTAATTCAAACAAATTCAAAAAATGTTTCCAAAAAATCGTTTCAAATAAAGTCGATTCTTTGATTCCAGAAATCTAAGTACCCAAAATGTGTCCTGCAGTTGGTATTGCGGTAAACAACAACTTTTTTGTTCCATTAATTTGTATTCATTCTAGTCTCAACCTAATGAAATAATCCTAAATAAATATGGAAACAAAAAATATTTCCCACAATATCAGCAGTTTGTAATCTTGTGAGATTAGATATCTATTGTAGATTTCTGGTATCGAAGAACATTGTTTGACTTCATTTGATAAGATTTTTTAGTGAGAATTTTTTAAATTTATTTGAATTAGATTTACTTTTACAACAAAGTGAAAATACAAGAGCTAATAATGGAATATATGTTTTTAAAAATGTACCTATTCTATTGTTATATTTTATATCTTATGTTAATATTTAGATTTTTACATAATTATTTTGTTTTGCCTTGTGAGTTCTTTAAAGTTTTTACTTTTGCTCTTACGTTGTTAATAATAGTAACAATACAGGTACATATATGGAACACATTTACATCCTCAAGGTTAATTGGCATGCCGTATTGAAATTTGGTAGGCCTATGGTTTGATTAATTTTCAAATATATAGGACTTTTGACTTGTTACTATCAAAAGTATTATATCTTTTCCCACTATAGTAAATAGACTATTAATACATTGTTTTTAACGTGGTGAATTTTACCGTAGAAGTGGATGTTCCTATGGACAACGGGATGTAAGTGAGGTAACTTCCCTCCCTAGGGAAAAAAGCGATTTCGAGTTATAAATGCATATAGAAATATTTGATGAACATTACATTTTATTAATTATTATGAATGAATATTTATAGTAATTGTCCAGTTACTATATTTAGTGTACATTTATAAAATCTGGATAATTATTCACCTCGCGTTTAATAATTGTCACATATTTCTCAAAATGATTTGACCGCCTCATTTCAGTCACCGGAGGCTCAATATTATCTCATTGATCCATTAAAATTGCATACTGCGACGTACTACTAGAACCTGGAGTTGATGTGTCATTGTAAAGAATCCTGTTGCATTTTTCATTTTTGTTACTTAAACTGTCAGCAACTTTCTGCAATTGTGGCTGATTTCCACCCACCATGTCTCTTGATTGCTAATACATCAACTCTATTAACTATTAGATAGTAACGTTGCCGATGTTCTTCGGGATGAATGGCCTGTATATGTTTCAGGACGTTCTAGTTTCAAAAACTGTGCAATATTATTAGGAATCACAGAAAGGGTATTCTTGCCGACAGATTGGTTGTAACATCTACCTACTTGATAGCGCATAAAAAAGCATGAAATTTCAGTTTTAACTTCCAATCTAATCTTGATATATTTCTTGAGAATTTCTAGGTGAGAAACAGAACCCAGACGAGAAGTAGTTGTAAACGTACGTGACATACAATTTTTAGAACATGCAATTGTAACTACTATAATGTCATCTAAATTTTTGAAATTGACGTCCAAAGTAAGTTTGCATAACTAATAACAACGGCATGCTCCTGCGATGCCTAAGACCGTCACTACTTCACGTCACTTATCGGGTGCCTTAATGAGAAAATCGTTGACTTGTTCTCTTGTAAAAATGTTCGACTTTTTATAAAGTATATAGTATAGCCGTCATTCTCACATTTCAAAAATGCTCTCAGCTTCGAGTATTTTGATATATCCACGTTCTTCTCTATAAAAATACTTCCCCATGAAATATGCTAGCAGTGACATTTCAGAAACCCAGTATTTTTGTTCTGGCACCATTCTTTGAAATTTCTATATGATCGTCCGTAGCGCACTTTTGACTTCTCGGGCAAAATTGCAACTTTTATGTAACGTTCTTTATAGATCTTAGAAACGACAAAATCCAAACAACCAAGGCAACTTCGAAAGATTTCGAATAATGTGAAAATTAATTGATTAAGAAATGTCAAAAAATAAAACCGAATCTTTAGTTCATGAACCATAAAGAACTGTGGCAGCAGATAAAATCTTATACACCACGCAGCAGTTAAGTATAATTTACCAGTCTCGGACTCTATTGCCAGCCCTCGCTCCGCTCGGGCGCAAAATCATCATCGACTGGTAAATAATACTTCTCTCCTTTACGGTGTAAATAACTATATATTACACCACAACTTATTTGAGATTATGATTTTGAAGTCTTTAGGACGATTTTCTTATTCACATTTTTTCTATTCAAAAAATATTCTGCTGTTAAAATTCGTTTCCGAGAGGAAAGACAAAAATTGAAGATGGCTGCTCCTGGCGTTATTCCTATAAGTTTCTTTAGTTCTGGAAGACATATATAATTTTTACGAACTACAATATAAGTAATGTGGCTTTTTTAAATATTTCATAGCCCCGCAAGAAGAATTTTGTCATGTGGAAACAATTAACTCAAGAATCACAGGCTCAAAGTTAAAGATAACTTTCTTTAATCTTATTTGTTACGCAAATTTTAATACGCATAAATGCTTACTTATTTTGAGTGTTTTGAGTTCAGAACTTAAGAGCATTTAGCAAACCTTATCGGGTCAAACGAACCCCCGAATTCGGATTCAGCGACCTCAAAAACGCATAGATATGTAGGTTTACTTTGTTGGCAATTAATTCTCTATATCTGACCTTGAACTGACGTTAACCCAGAGCTATTCAGGTCAAACGGACACAGGATTCGAATTCAACGACCCCAAGAACATATACCATGGTCTTGCCTTTCGGACCTCTAACTTTTTTTTTGTGGGATTGGGAATTACTAGAAATAAACAAAAATTGTGGATGATTTTAGTTAATATTTTTAATAAACTTAAAAATTATCCAGAGCCAACAAACGAGGCAATGTTTTTTTACAAAAAAGAAATAATTTTTGCTTTCTACACAAATTTTATAAATTTCCTAAATTTATTTGTGGCATTTTCGTTTGAAATAAATGAATAATATTAAAAATTTCTGAATGGATTAAGAAGTACTGAAATTCTTTTAATAAGCGATGTTAGAGCGCTGCCACAAGAAAACTGGGCTGGAACACCCTGTATAATGGCAGTTAGTAATAGTTTTCTTTAAGCGTTAGTTTAGTTCAGAAATTAATATCTACATACTCTCAGTTCAAAATCATCAGCGATTTCAAGAAACTAAATTAATTCGTGTTCTGTATTCATTACGATTTTAACATTCTAAATAATTATTTAGTAAAATTTCCAAAATATAACTACGACTTTATAGCCCGTTCAATTATATTCATTCATTTAAACGTACCCACCAATAATCCATTACGGCGAAATGGAGGGGTAATAGTTCATAGTTTTTAAAGTTAAGTTAAAACATCCTTGTACCATTTCCTTCGTTACTGCATAAGTTCGCGCGCTCAGTGAAAGCAACAGGTACCATTCAGTAATGTCAGTTGTTAGTAAAATTAATTTGGCCTGTACCTCTGCAGGAAAGCTGTGAAGCTCGCGCATTATCAGCAGTTGTGATTTAGTACCTGAACTGTTCGGACAGTGCCTGTAACAAGTGTGGCCTCATTTTGAATTCTTACCACCATACAATAAATTAGGTAAGCTTCAAGATGAAATAAAGTACATTTTATAGAAAAAAATATTAACACATTTTGATAGTACATGATAGTTTTTGAAAATTTTTTAAAAAGAGATTTGGTAAAAAAAGATTAATAATGGTTAAGTAAAAAAGCATTCCCATTCTAATAATTTTGTATATTTTATAATTCTACTTATTTTATTTTGGATAATTGTTAATGATTAACATTTACTAGATATTGCTGAATAATTTAATGTTAGTTGAGGCATGTAGCGCACAGAGTAGTTGTTTCCCTCAATATCAAATGTTAGAGGGCCTATATTTGCGATATTTTTTATGTACCTAGATTTTTTATTTTTGTACCTACTCTAAAGCAAGCAATGTTCTTTGATACCAGAAATCCAAGTATGTAAAAAATATCTAACCACACACACAAGTTTCCCAACTGCTGATATAGGGGGAAACAACTACTATGTGGACTACATGCCCTAACTAGCAATTATTTTTAATTCCTCCAATATCCAGGTAACAGTTAGTAACAAATAATTATCCAAAATAAAAGATACAATTTGAAAATATCAGACAATTTGCAAATAAGAAAAAACTGTCTTTAAAATCGGAAATAAATTAAAATACTTATGTAATTTTTACAAAATTGAAATTTGACTGGGTAGCTTAAAATCAATTATTAAACCTGAATAAATACAATAACAAATATAATAACATTTTTACAAATATAAATTCTGCTAAAGGTTATTACTTTTACAAACAGTGAGTATATATTTGTTAATAGAAGTTATATTTAAAATAAATATTATTATCTGTTTACAACTTTCTAGCAGCGTCTTTTTTATATTTTCTTATACACCGGCGTTTTTTTATCTACCACAAAGGAAAACTTGAGAATATCCTGGCAGAAAAGAAAATTTAAATAAAAATACTGTATTTTTATTTTGAAAAATAATTTGTAAATTCTTGATTCGTATTGGTATGTACTGTCTGTTTCGAAAATTGTGCTCTACTTTTATAGCACAGGCTAATTAAGAAATTAAAAAAGTTCCTTCTTTCCAGATCAGAAAACTTTTGTTTTTCATTTTTTATGAAATTACATTTTAAAAAACACATTTAATTTAGCTTTAACTTTGGAGGAACTAGCAAAAATAGAATTTTTATCTTTGTATGTAATAATTAGAGATCAGCGGGACGTGGTATATGGTTGGCTGTAGGCCGGCTTTTCTTTTATGTAATTTTATTCAAACAAAAAGTGATACAACGGTTGCCTTCGTCTAACTGCACTCTACATTATAAGAATACTTATGTAAGTATCCGCTTAATAATATGAATTAAAAAGAGTCAGTGTTTATTTTTCTACACTAAACGCTTCACATGGAACTTACTATAAAATATATAGGTATAGTACGTAATAATAAGTACCAGTAAAAGTTAACAAAATAGTAATTCGCCTTCCTTGTGAATAAGAATTCACAAGGAAAGCGATAGTAGAAAATAATTAACGGTTATACTAAGTGTTTTGCGGTTAATCATCTCTATCGACCGTTCAACATTTACCGAGGTCACAGGCGCATATCTAAAATAGTCGAAGTTTTTAACAGGTGCTAGTTTTGCTAATGGTGGCAAAACATCAACTACTTCACATTTTACTAAGCAGTAGTTCCATTATCCGCATCATTGTGCAATAATATAATATGTATATGTATACCTCTGATTTGAAGCTTCGCATCGATCAATTTATTCGATACGTATCTAGCGGCACACTAATGCCTACCCTATCGACCTGACGTACCGTTGAACAATCCAGGTTGTTTGCTGAGAGGCGTTGGTTGTGCATTTCATTGTCGTTTATGTGTGATTTTGACGCTTGGTTTGGTCGAGTGTATGGCACGAGTTTTTCTGACAGCCAGTAGCTTTGTGTATTGTGAGCATAGAGCAGCACACGACTTGACCACAGATTTAACCTATTTCTGCTACTACAACGCGTATTGCGGCTTACTGGCATAATATAAATTACTACTGTTTATTTATTTGTTTGTAACCACAAAGTTTCCGATGTCAAGTCGCTCATTTGTCGCTAAAATAACATCTTCAAATATTTTGTATAAAATTCTATAAATACTTGTATATTTCATTATCGTAGCAGAAAAAACTTTACCTATCAGTAATTCTTGCCATATTTTAGAATTACTACATAAAAGCACTTTTAAAATATGAATTTTCGCACGCACAACTTACTGCTTTTTGTATAATAACTGATAACTGTTGTATGAGTGATATATGTAAATAGTTATTAATACGTTATTTAAACTTAACGATATATTATTTCACTCGTTTTTTTAACTCTAATTGGTTATTCTGATAAAGTAATCGTGAATATACTACGATAATTATTACCTAGCCTATATGTATCAACTCTAAGAAATACTAAATTACTGCTACATATTCTAAAATACCAGTAAATGTGAAAAATAACAGAGTGTCCCAGAATATGTCGGCAATCTCTCGGATTTATAAAGGGGACGTTAAAATAACATGACAAGTTTCTATAATGCCCCTGATGCCCCTGAAAATCGATTTGTTTGAATAACTTTTGAAATACTTTGTGTAATTTAACTATTTTTTAATATGATGGACAACAGACTTATTTGGTTTGCAAGGGACGGACTAGCTGTAGCACAATAATGCCAATTTTTTTAAACTCATTACGATAAAGGCACAAAAATAATATTTTTAGATAGCTTGTACCTTAAACTAAAAAAAGGAAAAAAGGTACCTACTCTTGACTGATATCGATAAAATGAACTGTTTTCGAGAAAAAACTATTTTTGATATGATTTTTATTATAGCTGTTTTACATTGACAATTTATTGATGAATAAATTGACGAAGTTCTTTATTAATTAATTCACGAATTTATTGATAAACAGTGTGGTTTTACATTGCTATAGACTTTGTCAAATTTTTTGACGCATGAATCAGTTCTACCAACGAATCAAAGAAGCACAATTATTTACATATTCCAATAACATAACCCCATTACTGATCTGAGGCTGGAAATCTGTTGGGTTGGTACTTCCGAACTTCACGAAGAAATTGACGAAAATTATAACATGCTCTAATTCGTCAAGAACTTGATGAATAAATTCATGAAGTTATTTGACAGCAGATTTGGTGCATTACACTTGTCCAATTTCTTGATGAAGCGACTGCATCAATTAATTGATCAATAAATTGTCAATGTAAAACAGCTATTACATAATTTTGTATGTCGATTCAACTTGAGCTCCTTCTAGTGTGCATTATACATTATATGCATTCTCTAGGTCTATGAATTACAAATTGTTGGATCGAGGAGGTCAAGCCACTGGTCCTTCTCTTCCTATCCAACGATTTTCGAAATGCCCGTTTAAGCGTTTTCGAACTACAGGACTAAAATGGGGTGGTGCCCCATCATGCATGAACCACATAACATGTCGTATTGCCAAAGATAGGTCGTCTAAAAGTTTTGGCAAGTTGTCTTGGAGAAATTTCAAATATAATTCCCCAGTTAACCTACTAGGCAATACAAATGGTCCAATGAATTGTTGCCCGATGATTCCAGCCCATACGTTCAAACTGGTGCTAATGAAGCGTCACAATAGAAGCATGTGGATTTTCTTCTGACCATAAATGCAAATTATGGGAGTTTATGATTCCATTTTTACAAAATCCAGCTTCGTCCATAAAGAGAATTGAACCGATGAAATTTGCATTGTTACAGTACCCATCTAAAAGCCAGTTTGAAAATTACATGATTCACGGAAAGTCTACAGAAAGAAGTGCATGGACTTTTTGTATGCGATAGGGATGCAATTGTTGCTCTTTAAGGATTCTAAGAAACGTAGATTTTGGGCAATTAAACTGGACAGCCAATTTCCGGGCACTTTTTGAAGGATCTGCTTCTACGGCATTTAGGATATTTTCTTCAGCGACCTCACCGCGATTGATTTGATTTCCACAATAACTGTGTCTGGCTTTGGCAAACGTTCATAAAATTATTTACAGCATTTTAATTCTTCTTATTACCTACTCAAAAAGTACGCTAATGCAAGTGATAAATAAATAAATAAATGTAATTTTCACCAGTATCCCTTAAACGCTGATCCACTCTCTCAAAAGTTTTCGTCAGGAATTCTTCGATTTGGAAATCGTTCCTCATAAAGCCTTCTGGTTTTAAAGCATTACATGATGCAAATCCATACAATAAATGCATGTCGGCATATTTAGCAAACGTAAATTCCATTACGGTTCATCGATTTATTTCTCTTTACGGATGTAGTAAAAATCATATTAAACAAAAATAGTTTTTTATCGAAAACAGTTCATTTTATCGATATGAACCAAAAGTATCTTTTCTTAGTTTAAGGTTCAAGCTATCTAAAAATATTATTTTTGTGTCTTTATCGTACAGGATGTAAAAAAATTGACATTACTGTGCTACTGATAGTCTGTCCCTGGCAAAGCAAATAAGCCAGATTGTTTTCATGGGTCAATTTTTAAAGAGTGTTATCTGTTGTCCATCTTTTTAAAATATAGTTAAATTTACATACAAAGTTAAGTTAAATTTATATACAAAGTATTTTAAAAGTTATTAAAAAAAATCGATTGTCAGGCCTGTATCTCCGTAGGGGAGCCCTCTAGGGAATATTTTTATAGGAACTTGTCAAGTTATTTTAACGTCCTTTTGCCTTTATTTCTTTTGCCATCAAAATTTACTGGCACATGTTTAAAATTAAAAAAATCAATAAAACAAAAAAAAATTCATCCTTATGAAAATAACAAACAACGATTTTTATACTAACCTTTACAACAACATAAGGAGAATACCTAAACACGAAATAACATTAAAATATCTACAATTTTTATAAATCAACATGCAAGTAATTGTGATGATACAGTTGAAAATATGTTTTAATTTATTATTAATTGCTTGAAAAACAAATTCAAAATTATCAAGCATTTCGTC